ATGTGGGACTCGATCCCGGGACTCCAGGATCATGACCTGAGCCGAAGGCAGTCGCTTAACCAACTGAGCCACCCAGGTGCCCACTTTTTTTTTCTTATTGATGGATGTGTCAGGGTCATGTTGTATGTCCATAAGCCTGTTTCCTTTTCTTTTTGGGCACACAGTTAAATATTTTCCAGCCTATCTTGCAGTTAGGTAGGGCCATGTAATTTATTTCTAGCCATTGGAATATGGGTAGAAGTGATGTAAACCAGTTCCAAACATAGCCCATAGAACCTCCCAAGAGATCCTCCATACTCCTTCTCTTTGCTTTCTGTAGCAACCCTGAAGCCTTTATGTTGAAGATGGCAGCCACACAAGATGGAAGGAGCCAGCATCTCCAAATGACTTGGTGGCACAAAGCCTCCCCAGCACCACACCTCAGCACTGATTGGTTTGGATGTGATACAGGTGAAATAACTTTTATTGTTTTAAGACACTGATACTTTGAGATTAATCTATTCTAGGTAGTAATAACCCTAATTCTGAGCTGTCCAATGCAGTAGTCACTAGCCACATGTGACTAAATTTAAACTTAAGTTTAAATTGAAATCAATTATTGTGGCTATTAAGCAATTGAAATGTGGCTGGTATAACTGAGAAGCTGAATTTTACTGTATTTTAATTAATGGAAATTTAAATGTAGAGAGCCACATGTGGCTAGTGGCTACCATACTGGACATGGCAGATATAGAATATTTCTATCACCATAGAAAATTTTATTGAATAATGCTGCCCTAATAGAGAGAACTGTTCTTATTTTTTTAAATAATCTCCTGCCCCAAGAAACGCTCTGCTTCACTAAAACTAATTTCCCTCTACCTAAAAGAAGGCTCAAAACATTCCTTTCTTACATTGTTACCTTTACCTGCCAAGAAACTCCTGTCCTATCCCTTCCTGACTTTGCCTACCTTCTTGAATGGGTGGTCTTGAATTCATTGCAATCTGGCTTCCTTCCCCCACTGCTCACCTGTAATCAGTGTTCTTGGCAAAAACTTGGCCACATCTCTCTTCCAGATGTCTCCTAAATTCTGCTCTCTGATCCACCTCTCTCCTGAGCTCTAGGCACCCATTTTCACTCTTTGGCATCTCAGGGTCACCACGTGTTTCAGTGATATCTCATCAGAGAAACCAGGTCAACTCTGAATTATTTATGCCAAACCCTGAGATGGCTCATGTTATTATTGTTATCCCCACAAAATAACCACAGCTCTTTTATGTTCCGGAAGGCAATTACCATTTAGGCAAACACTGAAGGTAGCATGAATCTTTGATGTTTGCAAGCTCAGAATGAAATGGAAATGAATTCATGATGAAGCAATTCCAGTCCCGAGCAGGAGGGCTTTAACGACGAGCTAATTCATGTGCTGGTCAGACCGTTGTGAGAGAACTCTGGGCCAGCTCGCTAAAACTGAGCAGGAGAATTTGGAGACACTCCAGAGGAGAGCCACAAAACCGAAGCGTGACAAGAGTAATTGCAGTTCTGTTATAAAGAGGCCATCTATATCAGGCTTATACTGAGTATCATGTGGAATGTTACAACACAAAGCATTGGGAACAGCTGTTCTGGGCCTTGACAAGAGACAGGACAGAAGAAATGAGAACAGGTGTGAGATCAAGAATTTAGGCTAGCTAGGGGGCAAAGTCAGGACGGTGAAAGAAAGATTCACGCTTATCCCAGGCTGAGGAGGAGGCCAAGTCCCCTCTGACTGGCAGCCCCAAGGCCTGCACTCACCTGCATTTCCAGAGGAGCCGGCTGACCGTGTTAAACTTGCGGTATGCTACAGAAATTGAAGTTTGCCCAGAGGGCTCCTTAATATGTTCCAAATATGTGTTAAATAGTTCTAAAAACGTGGTAAAAAGAAAAGTTAAAAATATCGAGGTTTATGAAGTCTGTACAGAAGTTGCAAGAGTGCAGTGATCTGGAAAAACCTAGCAAATTCATCTGGAAAAATGAAGCCAGCGTTCAAACTGCAGTAACAAAGGCAACAAAGTTGATGGCAGGTGTAATTAAGTTAATGGAAACTACAGGGATGAATAAAATCAGAATGACTAACAGTTTGAAACATTAGTTATGCAAATGCAACACAGAGGAGTCCATAAGCTAAGTCGCCACACTAATAACTCTTTAAACCAAGGGCTTCACACATTGCACAAGAACCTGGCTTTGGTCCCATTGTGTTTCTGGCACGAGATTAGAAGGGCCCCGTTGGTTCATATGTTGCTTGGGCAGAGCAGGACAAACTGTCACAGGGATGGCATAATTTTTTAAAACCACCATGGTCATTTACTGCACTCGTTTCTCTAATAAGCTTGTGAAAATTAAAAATATTGATATATAAATGTAATGCATTCGAATTCCGAAAGTTTTTTTTTGTTTTCGTTTGTAATTCTTTATAAATACATTAAAATGTCTCACAGCTTCTATCTTTACTAGCTATTACAGGTTTAGTAATTGCATAGTGTTTGCGGAAATGTGAAAAAACAATGTTTGTAGTTGCCTCTTAAAATGTCTACAATATAGGGAGCCTGGGTGGCTCAGTTGGTTAAGCGACTGCCTTCGGCTCAGGTCATGATCCTGCAGTCCCTGGATCGAGTCCTGCATCGGGCTTCCTGCTTGGCGGGGAGTCTGCTTCTCCCTCTGACCCTCCCCCCTCTCATGTGCTCTCTCTCTCATTCTCTCAAATAAATAAATAAATAAATCTTTAAAAAAAAAATGTCTACAATATATCCTCAAAAGTTGGGTCAGTATCCTAGACACAAAATTTTGTGTAATTCGTGTAGACTTATCCAGTTACAGAGTTTAAAATTCAGTGTAGCTTTTATTTCTGTAGAACTAAAAAGTAGTGCATAAAAATAAAAGCAGAAGCAACATATCTTTTTGTTATGTGGCCCAAAATACCTCATTTGACATATAGAAAGCCCGTGCAAATTTGTGTCATTATTTGGTATTATTCTTTGTTTTCTTTTTTCCTTTAATTTCTTTCCTTTTCTTTTTTTTAAAATAATCTCTACACCCAGCCTGAGGCTCAAACTCATGACCCCAAGATCAAGAGTTGCATGGTGTACCAACTGAGCCAGCCAGGTACCCTGTTTTGTTTTTTCTTTTGAAACAAGACTGTAATGACTTCTATTCTGTAGTCCTCTCATTTGAGATTTAAATTGCCCTAGAATGTTGCATAATATTCTGATTACCACTGCTTAGGTTTTATATTTCATGTAAGAATATGGCACCATTTTATTCCTAAGAGGGATTATGTTTTGGTCACTTGTATTTTGCTTGCTAAATAACATATTGGTTACTTAGACTCATGGCATGCTTTTCTCAAATGAAGATTTTGAAATCATTTCCAATGACCTTCTAATTTCTGGCCAATTCCTAGTAGACTATGGAATAAATGATTTTCATACACTAGTTCTTGTGTCTCCACTGTTATTTGGTTTAGGGAAATGATGTGTGTGTATCAGAAATGAAACCAGTGCAAAAAATATTTTGCACTGTTTTCATTCCTCGTTAAATATATTAACTTTTGGTTATAAAACACATTTAATAATAGAAAAAAGAAATAATTAGCTAAAATTAAATACTTTCTCAGCCAATTTAGTAACTTAGCTATTTAAGTTATTAGAGACTGAAACTCTGTGGGGTCATGTGAGACCAGCTAGCACCTGAGAACTTGAGCTCCAAGGTAAAGGTATTTGGTGTCTAACAGTGTTTCCTATCATCTCCTGAACAAATGTCCGTGTTTTGTCAGACCAAGTGATGCAAGTTAGTATGTAGCTGCAACTTCCTAATATAAGTATCAAAATGTGGAAAACAGTGACTCCCTAATATTTGGCAAGTATGTTGTCTATTATTTAGGAGTTTCTCTTTCCTTGTGTACACACACACACACAACCTTAATGGAACATTTTCACATAAAAGAATATCAGTGTTCCAGAAAATTCTACAGCTAAACAAATCAGTTTTAAAATACTCTTAAGTCTTTAAACTAATCAAAGTGCAATTACAGAGTCTTCAAATTCTTTTTTTTTTTTTTTAAGATTTTATTTATTTATTTGACAGAGAGAGACACAACAAGAGGGGGAACACAAGCAGGGGGAGTGGGAAAGGGAGAAGCAGGCTCCCTGCTGAGCAGGGAGCCCCATGTGGGACTCGATCCCAGGACCCTGGGATCATGACCTGAGCCAAAGGCGGACGCTTAACGACTGAGCCACCCAGGTGCCCCCAGAGGCTTCAAATTCTATCTTTGAAAGAGAATTCTTAACATTGAAAAATTATTGATCTGATGAGGGCAAGTCTCCTATTTATGTTTCTTGGAACTCTAGTTACATAGTGTTTCTGCTTCAAAGCCTTCCATTCTGAAAAGTAACAGTTTGTTTTATTAAAAGACTCTAGGGAGTCATAAAAAGAGCATTACAGATCAAACCCGAGGTAATATACTCTTATTTTCCACTGTTTTTCCCTATGTTCCTTTTTTTTCTCTTGTTCTTATTTGAATAAATGGGTCACACAAAGTAGATGCTTGTATGCTTGATAGGATTACTTATAGTACTGTAGTCTTGTCAGAATTTATGGGAAGAAGCTTGACTAAATGATCATTAGTTCTAGGGGCGCCTGGGTGGCTCAGTCATTAAGCGTCTGCCTTCGGCTCAGGTCATGATCCCAGGGTCCTGGGATCGAGCCCCACAT